GAGAGTGTCATCGATCAGCTGCTTCTTGTACACCCCTTATTGGGGATATGCCCACAACCAAGGTACATGCCCTTGACTGGAATCGAACCCGGGACCCTTCAGTCCCCAAGCTGACGCTCTATCCATTGAGCCAAACCGGTCTCGGCTGTGCTTTCATTTTATTAAGGGAGTCTTATGGCTAGCCGTTATATCAAGATGAGAGCTTTCTAAATTTCTTTTCTCAATTTTGAAGATTCTCCAATTAATCTCAATAGTGATTTAAGTCAATAAGCCTTTTATCACCAAAGCACAAGATCTGGAAAATTTACTTCTAGAGTTAACTGAAGAATTATAATGGCCCTGTCTTGTTATTTTTATTTATTTGTTTGTTTGTTTGTTTATTTATTTATTTATTTTTAAATAGCAGTTCTGGAACACAGGAAATCATATATTTTACCCCCTTTGAATAGAACTGAGTTGTTTTTCTTTAATATATTTTTTATTGAGTTTTTATAGAGAGGAAGAGAGAGGGATAGAAAGCTAGATTTCCCATTGATGAGAGAGAAGCATCGATCAGCTGCTTCTTGCACACCCCCTACTGGGGACGTGCCCACAACCAAGGTACATGTCCTTGACCGAAATCGAACCCAGGACCTTTCAGTCCTGAGGCCGATGCTCTATCCACTGAGCAAAACCGGTTTCGGCTAGAACTGAGTTTTAGATTTTCTAAACTTATACGGCTGGCCACCAGATGCATATGAATCTTCTAGCTGGAAGAGAAAAGTAGACATATGAAAACAATGACCATCTCTGGGAGGAAAAGGTCAGTAGAAACAAGAATACTAAAATTAATTTTTTACCAAAGTTCCTATATGTCCAAGGAACTAGTTCCACAAATATTTTCTCCTGCTAATCTAAATTTAGAAAGAGAAAATTTTAAAATCATTTTCTTTTATTTAAATGAGACTCAAATAGGTTTTAGGAGGCTGACAAGGTAGGATTAAAAAAAGAAAAAGCTTACCTGCTTCTAGCTCTATTGTTAGACACCAAGGACCGCTTAGCTGCAGTTGTCTCAGGATAAACATCCAAGAGTGAGGTTCTCCTAGCTGGCCTGCCAAAGCCACTGGGCAAGCAGAGAATTCCTCCCCGTCCCAACCCTTCTTTATTTCTTATGGCTGGACTAGTAATTCAGTAATATTGACACACAGCAAGATTAGCAAAGAAAAAAACAACTTAATACCTGTGCACTAAAGAATCATAACACAATGCTCAGATAATGAAATGAAGCCCAAAGAAATGATAGAAGCAGGCATCTTTTAATACTCTTTAGATAAAGAGACAATAAATTTGTGAGAAATTGACAGGACAAAGAAAATTAGTGCTCACTGGAGAGGAATCTAATCTAAACAAAGTAAATTAGAAATGAGGAAATAAGAGTTAATTATACAGACTTTTTAGCTCTGAGTTGTTTAACTCCAGCAATAGGGGTGTCTTCTAGGTGCAGGAAGCATACCTTTCACAGGGGAGTTTTATTTCCTTCATTCAAGGATACAAGGGAGGGTCACCGGCTGTTGAACCAATAATTTTAATTCAAAATAACCAATATGCCACTGTGGGATATTTTGGGATATATTTGAGCCAGTCTTGGGCCCCAACATATCCTTCTCTTCCTCTTTTATTAATGTATTTCTTTTCAGGAATGGAGTTGAATTTTCAGTATGGAAATGATGGTTTCTTTTTCCTTTGACCTGTTAAAATGATCAGTTATCATCACTACACATCCAGCTTTATATTTCTGGGAAAAAACTCTACTTGATTATGGGGTATTATTTTGTCAGATTTGATTTAACAATTTAAGATGTTTGTAACTACATTAATAGTAAGACTGATATATAGTTCTAATTTTTAGTACTGTGTCAGGTTTGATACCACCTTTATAGCAGGTCCATAGACTTATAAATTTTTCTTTTTTCCTCTCTCTGTAAAAATTTATATAGGGTAGAAATTAGCTGTTCCTTGAAGACTTGAATAAATAGCCTGTGAAACTACCCAGTCCTTTGGAAATCGGAGGGGAGGATAGATTTTTGGCAATTAAAAATTATGTTCTTATTGATTTTAGAAGGAAAGGAATAGAGAGATAGAAACATCAATGACAGAACCCCAATCAGCTGTCTCTTATGTACCTCCTACTGGGGATCAAGCCAGAAACCCAGTCATGTGCCCTGAGTGGGAATCCAGCCAGTGACCTCTTGGTTCAGGGGTCCACCCCTATGTATTCCCTTCCCTATGGATGGCATACCATACAAACTGTTCTGTACATTGTTTTGTATATATTTAAAATATTTTTCTTCAAAAATTGTGTTAATTAAATTCCCTACTTCCTTTTTGAATGAATTTTGATATTTTTCTAGGAAACTGCTTGTTTTGTCAATATTTTCCAGTTGTTAACATGCAGTTGTACATTATATTATCCTACAACTTAGAACTAGTAAAGTTCTCTATAAATATTGGTCTAAATGTTAATCCCAATTCCATCACTTACAATGTTTCTAAGTAATTCTGGGTAAATCACGAGAGTCCTGCTATACTGTAAACATTCATAGCCTAACAGAAGATAATAACTGTAAGTGTATTGAAAAAAACTGAGTTTGTCTGGCAATTCTGTGACATATATTTGCAACTGCAAACATAAAATAATTCATATTTTAGCAGCTCAGTGCTATGCTACCTACTTCCTTCACAACCTTCCATCCAGAGTTCTTTCTTCATAGCATATTACCTCACAACCAAACTGTACCCTATTAGTTAAAGGAGGAAAAGTGGCATTTTGAGTCTGAAACAATGGCTATGTAACCTGAATACTGACTACCTCAACTATTGTTTTAAGGTCTGTTCTTTTCTTCACTCAGCATCAAGGCCATCTAGAAAAGAGTGGCAAAGAGGCCAAGGGATGAGGTTTGGTGGCAGAAGTTGGGGTTTTCGGTTAGGGAGAGATAACTAATTTTGGAGGTTGCTAAGGAAATGGAAGAGGTTATCAATGGCTCCAAGGAAGTGGGAAGGGACTTGATAATCCCATAAGTGGTGAAAATGAGGAGGGGGTGTGGGGGTTCAGGGCCAGGGTGCTGTGGTAGGGGTAGAATGGGTGTGTGGGAGGCTGAATCTGGGAGATTGTACATAATATTCTATTGTAATTTAAAAAGGTATTATAATTACTGGTCTAAACTTTAATAAACACTGCCATCAATATTTGCACAAGTACTAAAAATTTCTTGGTTGGAAGGAGAATTATAATATTTGAACAAAACAAAACAAAACAAAACAAAACAATTCCGTTAGTTTAGGAACTTCATCCTAAACCAATTTCCAGAATCTTTCTCCATAGATTTACTAGTAGGGGGTTTCCCTGCATTGCCTATCCAAAAATATAAAGTACTTTATTTTACACCCACCTCCTACTCTGTGTTTTAAGAGCTGAAAACTGGTATTCACATACCCAAAGGGCAGTACACTGAATGTACTGCCACATTTCAGCCTGGAATTCAGGTGAATTGGAATCATAAACATTAGAAAAACCTGTGATGAGGTTGGGACATACAGGGTTTTAAAAAGTTATTCTTGCCGAAACCGGTTTGGCTCAGTGGTAGAGCGTCGGTCTACAGACTGAAGGGTCCGGGTTTGATTCGGGTCAAGGGCATGTACATTGGTTGTAGGCACATCATCGGTGGGGGGTGTGCAGGAGGCAGCTGGTCGATGTATCTCTCTCATCAACGTTTCTAGCTCTCTCTCTCTCTCCCTTCTTCTCTGTAAAAAAAAAAAAAAATCAATAAAATATATTTTAAAAAGCTATTCTTACAATAATCATCCTCTTTTAGGCATTGAGCGTATTAAGTACTTCCCCCAAATCGCTTAGCAACTTTAGAAGTTGCAGTGGGTTTAAATTTTTGGCCAATATCTATAGAGAAACTCCCCCCTCTCCTCAAAGTGGGTGAGGTAGAAAAGTAATCTTGGAGGTCGGTGTGGAGCCAGTATACAAGTTCATAAAATTCCAGGATGTGGAAGGAGCCGGATGAGGATGAGAAGTGCAGGGGATAGGCAGGGCGGGGACAACAGCCAGCCGTAGGAGCAGTAGGTTAGGGAGGGCTTGGTCCCTTTGTTCAGGATTCAGGAAACGCCGTGTTGTTTTTTGGTGTGTGTGTGTGTGTGTGTGTGTGTGTGTGTGTGTTCAGGATTCAGGAAACGCCGTTTTTTTTTTTTGTTTTTTGTTTTTTTTTTTTTTTTTGTGTGTGTGTGTGTGTGTGTGTGTGTTCAGGATTCAGGAAATGCCGTGTTTTTTGTTGTTTTTTTCTTGGTGTGTGTGTGTGTGTGTGTGTGTGTGTGTGTGTTGCAGCGCTGAGGGGATGGCGCTGTGTGTGTGTGGCTGGGGTGCGGGCTGGGCGGGGCAGGCTTGTTCTGGGAGGCGCTGCGCTGAGGGGATGGCGCTGTGTGTGTGTGTGTGTGTGTGTGTGTGTGTGTGTGTTGGGGGGGGGAATGGCGGTGTGTGTGTGTGTGTGTGTGTGTGTGGATGGCGGTGTGTGTGTGTAGGGGGGGACGGGGGGCGGGGCAGGCTTGTTCCGGGAGGCGCTGCGCTGAGGGGGATGGCGCTGTGTGTGTGGGGGGGGGGGGGAGGGGGGATGGCGGTGTGTGTGTGTAGGGGGGAGGGGGGCGGGGCAGGCTTGTTCCGGGAGGCGCTGCGCTGAGGGGATGGCGCTGAGCCTCCTCCAGAGAGCGGAGGCCGGTTCGTAGGCGGGGGAGGGAGCGCAGTCCAGGTCCCGAGACCCAGGGAGCTATCTGAGAATCCGGCTTGAGTGTGGAAAGGTGACCCCAAAGAAGCAAGCCAGGAGACGGGAACCTCTTCCCAGCACCCGGTGCCAGGCCCTTTCGGTGACGCGACTGACCCGCGACGACGCGCGGATGAGCTGCGGCTTCCACGTCTCAGGTTCCGCAAAGGCCTGTGGGAGCGACTCGGGAGCAGGAGGGCCAAGATGGCGGAGGCGGCAGAGTCTCCTGGAGACCCGCGTACCACATCGCCCAGGCCCCTGGTGAGCTGGGGATCTGCGACCGAAGGGACCGCGGGTGAGGCAGAGTGTCCCTCAATGAAGTCGGGTGACGGGCTCGCGGCCTGAGAGAGCCGGAGCCCCTTTCTCCCCGCAGGCCCTCCCGGTACCCATTGCCAGTCCCAACACTGCACCTGTTCTTGGGGCTCACCGCTTCGCCCCCTGCCCTCCTTGTTCTTTTTCAAGCCTCCTCGTGAAACTCCGTTCACTTCCCTTTCTCATACTCTCAAGGCTTGTCCTTGACACTTACATTGTGTTAAATGCGGGACTTTAGCTGATTTCTTAAGTAACTTTGCTTCTGCCTTCCCCAATTTTATCAAGACCTGCCGCTAGTCCGTGTTAGAGTAGCAGCATTCTGGGGTTAATGAGAGATTGCAGCGTGGTAACTTAATTATGTATTTGTTCATTGACCCAAATAGTCTTGGTTTAATCCCTGCCCTTCCTGTCGAAGCTCCGTGCAGTCCCGTTCATGATGCTCTCTTGCTCCTGGGGATGTTTGAACAGTGGACAGTATTTTTATTACACATAAAAGCCCAAAGCCGGGACAGGTATTTAATAACACAGCTTTTGGAGTTAAACTTACTGGACTGGAATCACCCACTCTGCTGCTTGTGTGAATTTGGGTTAGTCATTTCATAGAGAGCATTTCTTCGTCTGTAAAATGGAAATTAAAATATGTACCTCAAATAATTTTTAGGAAAATGAAATTACATAATTTATGTAAAGTGTCTAATACAACCATTGCCACGAACCGAGGAGTGTAATTAACTCAACATTCTGCCCTTAGGTCTCTTATCCTCAACAGTGTTTAATTATTCAGTAAATGGTACATCCCAATACCTTTGTTTTAAATTGGCAGCATAGTAGAGGACTGCACTGGGAGTCAGGTGAAATTCATTCTAGTCCTGCTTACTAGCTCTATTTGTTCATCTCTTCATTCAACACATATTTATTGAATATCTATTATGTTCCAGGCACTCTTAGACTGGGAATACAGCAATGAAAGAGAGTGAGTAGGCCCAAGTTCTCATGGAACATTTGTGACCTTGAGGAAATCATTCTGAACTTATTTCCTCATTTGGAAAATGGGGATAGTAACTCATTGCACAATTAGAATACTAAATAAACTAATGTACACATATTGCCTGGGGTGACGTAGTTACAGGGGTCTAGCTGTTTTTAGTTCCTTTCTTTAATTTAAACTACTCTACAATTAATTGTGGTTCTGGTTACTCATTACTCAGTATCCAGTCCACTTGAACATATTAGGTCTAGGACATATTCAGTAATGTTTATTCAATTCATACAATGTACTGTGCTAGTTGCAAATGGCCTTCTCTTTTGGTGCTTATATTCTAATTTGTAGGGATAATACAAATGTACAATATTAAAATAAGGCAGAAAATATTAAAATTTAAAAGAAGATGCTATCATGTCTAGTTGGAGTGATAAACCAAGCTACACCATGAAGTTATATTTGAGTGGGCCTCAAAGGATGGATAAGATTGGAAATTCCAGGTGAGCATAATAGTTACCAGTGATTGAGTACCTGCTACTTGCCAGGATTGTGCTAAACATCCTCTGCATATTTTCTAAACTTCACAGCAACCATTTCAATTAGATATTTAAAACTGTGTTTTACTTGCAAATGAGATGGGACTAAGAGAGGTTTGATAATTTTCCTAGAGTCTCACCAGCAGTTAGTGGTCAGGCCTGAAATTTGAACCTAGGTGCTTCTGAAGCCCAGGTGATTCCAGTAGTATTACACAGACTCTTATTGCAAAGGTACAGAGGTTGGAAAGAACTAATGTACTTCTAGAAAAACAGAAAGATCACTTTGGCTGAAGCACAGGCAAGTATTAGGAGGTAAGCCCTAAAAGATAAGGCTACTGAATTAGAGAAGCAGTATGGAACAGTGGTTAGGAATGTGAACTCTGGGGTCAAATTGCCTAGGTGTTATTCTAAGCTCAGAAATTTCCAACCCCCTTCCATGCCTCAGTTTCCCATCTATAAAATGGAGATCCAGTAATACTTAGGTGATAGGGGTTTTAGGTGAATTAAATGAATTGACACATGTAAAACACATGCAATAAGTATTATTGACTACTAAGATGGGAGGTTTAATAAGCAGTGAGAAGACATTGGAAGCTTTTGAGGAGGAAACTGTTTAAAATCATGAATTTGACAACGTAATAAAGAGTTACCATGGGGAATTTCTGGAATCTAGGAGACTAGCAGAACTGTTGCAGAATCCTTGAGGGTTTTCAGTGCTTGGGAGGGAATGTCTTAGATATATCAGTTTTGCAAACTTCAGTGTGCATAGCAATTATCTGGAGAATCATGTTAAATTGTGGATTCTGATTCAGTAGGTCCAGGATGAGGCCTGAGATTCTGTATTTCTAAAAGCTCCTAGGTGATGGTGCTGCTGATGCTCCTGCTCCCAGTAACATTTTGAAAAGCAAGAGAGTGAGCATATGGGAGGATAGGAGGAGGAAGAGGAAAAAGAGGAGGAGGAGCCTAAAAGTTGATTAATTCACTTTTCCTAGTGTACCTGTTAATAATGCGGATTTTGTAATAAAAAAAAAAACATAATTTCAAGAGACACATCAAAAGTGCTTTATTCAAAGTAATGTCCATCACTAGCTATACATTTCCCCCATCTTTCAGGTAATTTGTGGATACTGTTCCAATAGAACTTTTCTTGTTTTGAGCAAACCATTCAGAGACCCAGTTTTTCACTTCTTCATATGTTTTGAAGTGCTCAGAAAGTGCATGTGCCATCAATCTGAACAAATGGTAATCTGAAGGAGCAAGGTCTGGTCAATATGGCAGGTGGGTTAATATTTCCCAGGCAAGACCTTTTAACGTGTCTTTAACTGGTTTTGAAGTGTATGATGGTGTGTCATCATGAAGCAAAATTACTTTGCCATGTCTTCTGGAATATTCTGGTCATTTCACGATCAAAGCATGGTTCAAATTGATTATTTGTTGTCGGTAGTGACCAGTATTAACGTTTTCACCTGGTTTTAGAAGCTCATAATGCACCATACCTTCCTGATCCCATCAAATGCAGAGCATTGTCTTCTTTCTGAAGTGATTTGGCCTTGCAGTTGATGTTGATTGTTGACCTGGAGCAACCCATAATTTTGTGCATTTGGGATTCTCAAAATAAATCCACTTTTCATCACCAGCCACAATTCGATGCAAAAAAGACTTTTATGCAGTTGAAGCAACATTTTACTGATGACTTTTTGTTTTTCCATTTGTCTTTCGTTTAGTTGCTGTGGCATCCATTTTTTTTTCCTTTAAAATCTTTCCCATTGCTTGTATATGATTGGAAATTGTTTGCTGAGCAACATTTACCTATGCCACCATCTTGGTTTCTCCTGCATCTATTTTTGTTCATCAAATTAGGTTGAGCATTATATCTCACATATGAGTGAGATCATATGATATTTATCTTTTTCCAACTGGCTTATCTTGCTTAGCACAGTGCTCTACAGTTCCATCCATGCAGTTTCAAATAGTAAAAATACCTTCTTCTCTTTTTTATAGCAGCATAGTATTCCATTGCGTAAATGTACCACAGTTTTCTAATCCACTCATCTGATGAATAGGCTGTTTCCAAATCTTAGCTATTGTAAATTGTGCTGCTATGAACATGGGGGTGCATATACATTTTCTGATGGGAGTTTCTGTTTTCTTGGGATATAGTCTTAGAAGTGGGATTACTGGGTCAAATGTGAGTTCCATTTTAAACTTTTTGAGGAAACTCCATACTGTCTTCCACAGTGGCTGCACCAGTCTGCATTCCCACCAGCAGTGAATGACAGTTCCTTTTTCTGCACATCCTCTCCAGCCCTTGTCGTTTGTTGATTTGTTGATGATAGCCATTCTGACAGGTGTGAGATGGTACCTCATAGTTGTTTTGATTTGCATCTCTTCGATGATTAGTGACTTTGAAGATGTTTTCATATGTCTCTCAGCTTTCTGTATGTCTCTTTTGAAAAGTGTCTACTTTTATATTTTGCTACATTGCCAAATTCATTTATTAGGTCTAGTAGTTTTTTTTGACAGAGTCTTTTAAGGGTTTTCTATGTATAGTATCATGCAGTTTTACTTCTTTTCCAATTTGGATGCCTTTTATTTCTTTTTTTTTTTCTGATTGCTATGGCTAGCACTTCTAGTAATATATTGAACAGGAGTGGTGAAAGTGGGTTTCCCTGTTGTTTTCTCATTCTTAGGGGAAAGGAGTTTAGTTTTTGCCCATTGAGTATGATGTTGGCTGTAGGTTTGTCATATAAGGCTTTTATTATGTTGAGGTATGATCCCTCTATTCCCACTTTGCTGATAGTTTTTATCAAGAAAGGGTGTTGAATTTTGTCATATGCATCAATTGATATGATTATGTGATTTTTGTCTCTATTTGTTTATGTGATGTATCACATTTATTGATTTGAGGATATTGTACCATCCTTGTATACCTGGAATAAATCCTACTTTGTCATGGTGTATGATCTTTCTAATGTAAAGCTGGATCCAATTTGCTAGCATTTTGTTGAGGATTTTAGCATCTATGTTCATCAAGGATATTGGCCTGTAGTTCTCTTTTTTTGTTGTGTCTTTATCTGGTTTTGGAATCAGGGTAATGCTGGTTTCATAGAAAGAGCTTGGATGTGTGCTTCCTCTTGAATTTTTTGGAGTAGACTTAGGAGGATAGGTTGTAGATCTCCTTTGAATGCTTAGTAGAACTCCCCCATAAAGCCATCTGGAACAGGGCTTTTGTTTGCTGGAAGACTTTTGACCACTGCTTAAATTTCTTTGGTGGTTATTGGCCTATTCGTGTTTTTTTTTTTTTTTTTAAATTTTTTTTTTAATTTTTTTTTTTTTTATTCTTCCTGGTTAAGTTTTGATAGCTTAATTTTTCTAAGAATATATCCATTTCGTCTAGGTTGTCCATTTTTTTTGGAATAGAGTTGTTCATA